CGAAACAACGTCGCCGGAAATTCACCGGAAAACTTGATTCATAAGCTCCAAACCAAAGCATAAAAAAAGGAAAAAGAGAAAATAGAGAGGAATTCCCAACTTAAAAGTTGGAAAATGAGAGTTGTTACCAAAAATACAAAGCATAATGTCTTTTTATAGATACGCCACAAACACACACTAAAACACACACATTAAATGATGAAAACTTGCAGGATAGGTCGAATTCGCAGGATAGGTCCTTGATTTTCGCAGCTTGATACACCAAAACTCGCAGCTTAGATGATGAAACTCGCAGCTTAGGGCATTTTCGCGGGATAGAGCTTCATTTTCGCGGGCTCGAAATGGTCCCATGACCTCTTGATGCTCGATTTGATCTGACTTCTCGCACACAACTCCAATTCGCACGAAACTTGGACCCATATTCTCCTAATTGAATTATCTTCTTCTCGGAATAGCTTGGCGGGATTTTCCGGTTGGACGGCTCGGATGGCTCGTCTCATTCTCGCCAAGTTGGACCTATTCAACACTAAAACAAAAGACAAACGCGCAAAAATACGAAAACACTATACAATAACAAAAATACACAAAACACGATAAAATGGACCGGTCGACACTAAAACGAACCTAAAAACTATAAAATAAAGCACACAAAATAAACGAAAATAAGCACAAAAACACAATAACCAACTCCCCCACACTTAAACTTTCGCTTGTCCTCAAGCAAACAAAACAACAAGTAGTGTTGAAAGGAGAGATCGAGCGGTCCAAGATCAACAAACATGCATTATGTACTCTCCTAATCACTCGGTTATTTACAAAATAAAACTCAAACTCGAGAGCACGGTTCCCACATGTGAATCCAACAAAACAAAAAAGAGTCCCAAATTATTCAATCATGATTTACTCAATGCAAACTTCCTTCTACAATAAACACGTGCAAAAAGCTCAAAACGGTCTACTTAATGTATAGGATAGTAAAATCGAGACCATAAGCCAACCCCTATTTTTTCGTTTCATTTCATTTTTTTTTTTCATTCATTTTTTTTCTTTAATGAGTCACTTTTTCCAAATGGAAGCCGTTAGGACGATTATTACCTAGGTTTAACCTCGGGGGTTATTCCCGAGTCGCCTAGGATGGTTTCCCGTTCTCATTGACCCGATCTATCTAGAAGATTAACCGAGCCAAGAGGAGCCTAATCCTTTCGACTCCCACGAACTCATTTCGTGAGCTTCTCTTTCCAAACGAGGTTTCCGGACGAGATTCCTTAGGTTTAACCTCGAGGGGTTTCCTCGAGTTTCCTAGACCGGTTTCCCGGGCTCATTATCTCAATCCACTAAGTGGTTCGGAATAAGAGGAGCCTAATCCATACTTCCTCGCGAACTCACTTTTTATTATTTTTTTATTTTTTATTTTTTTTTTATTTTTTATTTTTTTTTGAGGGTGGCACACAAAGGTACATCACAAATACAATCATAATCATCAAAACTCAATCACGACGTACACAAAGTCTATAGCATAACACGTATAATCAACAATCGAACATAAGGCAAGCATGATCAAGATCCTCAATCAAGAACGAACAAAGAACAAGAAAGTCTTGTGAATTCACATGCAAGTTCCAATGCCAACAAATAATCATTTCATTTTATAAAAACCGTCAAAATCATTGAGCACATAAAGCATGAGAATTAATAATGAACACAAACGACAATCCAATCTAGCCACTTAGTCATTCCGAGCAATTGGACTCACATCAATTTTCATATGGGGAAATCGACACAAAACACACAAAAACAAACAAAACCGGTCCAAGACACGACTAAACGAAAAGAAAATACGCCTAAAGCATGCATAATCACGCAAACCCCTCCCCCACACTTAAAACAAAGCAATGTCCTCATTGCTTGACCCAAAAAGCATAGAAAAGAGCACGTAATCACATAAGCTCAAACGTTCGACAAGATAAATGAACTATACAAATGAAAACAAAAAAAGAAACACATAACACATAGAAAAGAAAGAGAAAGAGAAAATAAAGAAGGGAAAAGAAAGCGAGCACTCAACACGGTGGGGTCCCACCGTGTATCGAGGTGTTCGTCCGGTAGGAAGAGAGAGAAAACTTGGCCCGAAAGCCTCCTTGAGCTCGAAACAAGATCATCCGAATGGTTGTACGTGGTAAGAATAGACTTCATAAGCCAACCGGATACTTTGACATTTGGTAGCATAGGAGAAGTCGAAAATTCCGTCTTCCGACTCCAAATAAAGGCCACATGTGTGCGTCTCGGAGGGATGAAAACTATGAATCCAATAGTACTCAACGAAGACACAAGTATGCTCGAAAGCTCAAAATTAGGACCTCGAACCCCTCTCGAATCAACGTTCAACCACAAACTCAACCGCACACCCAATTACATAAGAATATTTCAAAATGACTTGCCACAAGCATCGAGAGTAATAATCGTGGATGGCACCCAATCGAGCAACACAACGTCTTCCAACTAACAATAACACAATGTTCATCCTCCACCAACAATCAACCAACCCAATACTCAAGCACTTAAATCAATTAAACGAACGCAAATTATTTCAACAAGTATAGCTAAGAACAACAATCCCAATCTCGAATCACCACCACATTCAATTCAAATCAAAAATTCTCAATCTCCAAATCAATCTTCAAAGCAATCAATCAACTCAAATAGCAATTACCCAATTTAGAAATCTTCTTCACCAATTCAATCGATCAACACATAATTCCCTATCTCCAAACA